GCGGCGGGCCCGAGGTCGGGGGGGCGCGGGCCTCGGGAGCTACTTCTTCCCTAGGCGTCGAGAAGGTGTCGCCCGCGAGGCTTTTTGCGAGGAAGGACTTCGCTGGTTTGGGTCCAGATCCGTCCTTGTCGAAGTGCTGATACGACTTTTCCCAAACTAAAATGGCTTCAGAATTCCCATCCGTGCTTTGCTTGGCTCGCCTCCCTGCCCCTTTTCAGGCAGATTGGTTTCTTGGAATGGTTTTGGAAAAGTTTGTGCCTGTGCTCTACAGTTGTAGGTTTTCCCTTGAAATCCCTGCTCACCCCAAAACTGTTTTGTTTTGTTTTTTTTGCTTGTTTGTTGACGATTTGGATTGCTGCCCAAACTTGGGCATTGTAAAATTTATTTTAAATAAGTGATATACTTTCCTGGGGATGAAGAGCTCTATAAATGCGAATTATGTTCTTAAATCACAAATTTTGCAGGAGAAACTGACCCTAAAACGTGAGGTGTCTGTTAGTCTGTGCCCAGTAAATTATCGATCCTGGAGGTTTGTAAACCCTAGGAGCACATGTTGGTTTTTGCTTTCAGCCGGAAGTTCTAAAAATTTACGGAGTACCGAGTATCACAAGCTCTGGTGTTGGTGCGGGTTTAATTGGCTTTAGCTCTGCAGTGAAATGGTAGTGAGCAGCAGCATATTTTGTCAGTGCATTGGTTTGTTGGGCTGGATGTCTGCTTTCTAGGAAATTGCACTGCATTAAAACATCAGAGAACTTTTCAAGTGCTCTCTTCAAGTGTACAGCCCTTAGAGTGTGAAACAGCCATTCACGGTTTTCATGTTGTGCCCTTCGGCTCGGCCTCCTAAGAGTTTGGGCTTGTGTTCTGTCCTTCTGGCTCAGAGAGATTTTTTTTTTTTTTCTAAAATTAGGATTTAGCACAGAGGAATTTTATCAGATGTATTTGCATGCATGTCCTTTTCCTGCAATTTGTATTAGGCTTTTATTTTTCTGTGTGAGATAACAAAATACATCACTTCAGCCAAGAACTCCACTTACTAAACCACGAGTGCTTCCAGGGTGACTGAGGTGGCAGCAGAGCGGCACCTACCATATGGCACCTTGGAAGAGCCCTGGGTTCGACTCGCCAGGGGCCAGGACCCACCGCCCTCGGCGACCGAGCATGGCCGCGGGTGTTAGGTCTGTGCGAGGCACGTGTGATGGGGTGATCTCACCCTGGCTTGTGCATCACGGTGACCGACAGGGCATTGCGCTCCCAAGTGCTGTTTCTTAACAGTCTTGGTGACTTTCCCCTACCATGCGCCCGCTGACCCTTGGCAAACACTGGTCCGAATTCTCTTAACCGTGTCTTTGTGTTTTGGTGATGCCCAGGTGGATCCGAAGTAGAGAACCCAGCTGACTGTGAGAGAGGGAGGGGAGGGGCTGAATTGTGAGGCGTGTGGGCCCCAGAACCATGTCTACGCGGGAGTCCTTTAACCCGGAAAGCTATGAGTTGGACAAAAGCTTCCGGCTAACCAGATTCACTGAACTGAAGGGCACAGGCTGCAAAGTGCCCCAAGATGTCCTGCAGAAGCTGTTGGAGCCCTTACAGGAGAACCACTTCCAAGAAGATGAGCAGTTTCTGGGAGCCGTCATGCCAAGACTTGGTACGTGAACCGTTGTTTCCTTGGTCCGTTGCAGTCCAGTCAGGGAGTCTCAACCTAGATTTATCTCCTCCTGTGTCGCTTTTATTTTTAAAATTCCGTAGTAAGACTCAAGGAGCGATCCAGTGGTAATAACTGCATTGTAAGTAATAACTTGTTTATAGGAAGTACTTCAGAAGCATGGAGACACATACTCTACAATTTTTAAACAGGAATATGCAGCTGGCATCATTATAGTACAGTAAAAGTAAAAGCCTTTTTTTTAAACTCCATTTGAGCTTTCTGGTTAGCTGAGGATTAAGCAGAAATCCGGTTCTGCCTTTCCCAAGTGATCCCTGAAGTGCTGTGCCCTTCTCACCACCCTAGGGAACGTGGCCTCTAGTGTGTCTCGTGCAGTGCTGGAGTGGCCTGAGGGCCGCTTCAGCCTCAGGAGCAGAGGACCCTGGAGGAGTCTGCTTGGCCCCAGGTTTCCATCTGAGTTTCACTTCACTAAGCTCCTGCTGGTGTTAGTGGTTTCCCTTTTTTCCAAACACGAGCTCAGGCAGAACTGGGCCCTGGGATATTGGTCAGTGGTGCTTATGTGTACATTATTCAGTGTGTAATGCAAGGCCGTGATCACTTTGCCCTCTGGTGTTTGCACATGTTGTGGGATTGGATGGCCGTTCTGTAGTTACTGGGCGACTTGATCAGAGCATCGCCACTGAGCTAAATCTCTGGCCCAAAAGGCACCTGGTCCCATCCCCCTCAAAGAAAGTATGGTGTGGTTAACTACCCCCCACACCGGGGATCGAACTCAGGACCTTGCCCTTGCCAGGCAAGTGTGGCGCCACTGAGCTACGTCCCTGGCCCTTGGTCAGCTTTCTTAAACACGACTTTTGTTTCATTTATTTTTGCCCATTATTTTGTTGGAAAGTCCTGTCTTACCATATTGGTTCTGAGCCCGAGGCTTTCCTTCTGTCCCAGTACATGAAGCGGGGTTGTTCTGGTTGGGATGGAGGGAACTCCTCCTGCCTCACAGACACAAACACACGCACACGAAAGCACAGACACGCCCATGTGCACCGTGTCTGCAGGACTCTCAGGAGCTTGGTTTGAGAACAGTTCCTCTCCGCTAGCTGATGTCTAAGTTGTGGAGAAATATCAGTGGGAGCAAGTTGGATTTGATGTTGACGACGTCAAAAAATGAGACTGTACTGGGAGACCTCTTAGAAAGTGGCATTAGGAAAAAGAAGCCACTGAATTGTCAGAACAATAGGAAATGAAAACAAGGCAGTGGTTCCTATGACAGCTTCCTGGGTCGCTACTCCCTCTAGAAGCTCTCAGGCTCCATTCTGTGGGACAGACTTGAGCTTGGGACCTGGCACTCCTGTCTTCCTTTGCCCCTTCTGCTCTCCCACTGACAGCTTTTTGTTTCCTCAGTTCACATGTGTCGGACCTAGGAAGAAGGGCTGCTCTGGCCTTAACCTAGCAGTGGCAGAAGGACCCCTGCCTGGCAGCCAGGCACAGGCAGGGTAGAAGCAGATGGAATAGCACAGAGGCCATTTGCCTGCTCTCACTGGGCTTTGCAGTAAAGTAGCTGAAGCTCTAAGCTTTCCCAGAAAAACCACACCCCAGACTTGCACTCAGGCGACCCCTGGGGGCACGGAGACCCCAGGTGCCCAGCAGATGATGCCAGAGGCGGCCAGGCTGCTGGCCCTCCAGCCCTGCACCCATGTTCGTGCTCCTGGGCACGTGTCAGTAGCCTCCAGTGTTCTGTCTGTAAAGCTGGACACTGTATGTTCCGGGTATCTAAGGTGTGTGTCCATGTACATACGTTTATGCTTATCTGATTCTAGGCTTTTTTTCGAATTGAATATAGTCTGTTTCTTGAATCTTAATGTAGTAAATGAAGCATGAACCAGAACAGCTTTTGAAGACACATACCCTTGCTGCTGTGTCTTAACTAGAGAGAGGCAGGTACAGCTGTGCCTTAGGAACTGGAATGTCTGCTGCCTGCTCCTGGGGACCTTCCAGTGTGGATCACTGGGATCAGTAGTACCTGTGACAAGCTGGTGGTTTTTCTTGATGGAGGGTTTCAGTTGTGCTGAAAACCCAGAATTCCCTGTTGCCTGCTGGTAATTCTGACATAAAACTCTGATTGCTGTTTAAGACCCCTATAGCATTTTGATTTGTTCGCCCCTGCCCACTCCCTGGACTTTCCCTCCTCCAGTGTGAACCCTAGTTTTCAATGGCCGTGGCCCATCTCGGGTTTACCCTTCTCACTTAAAATTTGAGAGGTGATTTTTAAACCAGTGCTGATCAAAAGAACCATGTTTCAAGTCACATGACTTTAAATTGTTTTCCAGTAGTCATATTTAAAGAAAACAGAATCAGGTGAAATTGACTAATATATTTTATTTAACCCAATATATAAAAAATTCCTTTCCAACACACACGAAACATGGCTTTGATGTTGGCCCTCGGCGCTGTGTAAAGCCTGGTGCCTGTTGGTTCTGCGCAGGAGACACTCTTCTCTCCCAGTTCATAAGCAGTGCTGATTGGTTTGGGCTGGGAACCTACACACGTGTGCATTGTAATTGCGCTTTGCAGTGGGGCTCAGCTCATGGCAGCCGCACAGGGCAGTGCCGGCCTTACCTGTGGAGGCACCGTCCCCGTTGTGAAGGGCAGTGGCTGGGTGTAGGACTAAAGTTACAGAGCCAGTAGACCGTGCAATTTAGGAGAATCCCAATTAGAAGCATTTGAAGTATTTAGGATCTCTTCCCACGGTCCTGTAGTTTTAAGTAGAAACCCAAAAGAAAAGACAGGTCTCACTGTTTCCAGAATGGGTAGTATCAGCCGCAGAGTAGCCAGGTTTATGATTGTGACTGGGGAGACTGGAGCTGAAGTGTAGCTCTGGCCTGTGGGTACTTAAGTGTAAGGAGCACCGCTGGGTAGAACTCTAGGAGGCTGCCGTCGAGATAAGTTAACACACTTGTCCAACACAGGAAAACGGCGCGAGCCAAGCGTGTTCCACTGTCCCCAGTTTGTGAAACTGAATTCTGTCCTTAGCTGGATCTTCTGAACGTTTCTGCCTTGAGCCAGGCATGGTGCACATGCCTGTTCTCAGCCTCTGGAGGCTGAGGCAGAAGGGCGCCGTTTGAGCCCAGCCTGAGCAACTTAGTGATTTAGCAAGACCTTGTCAAAAATTTTTAAAAAGGCTGAGGGCGAAGCTTAGTGTGAGTCTCTGGGTTCAGTCTCCAGTTCAGTGGACCCTTGAGTTAACGACCGGCCTGACACACAAACAACTTGGATTATGACCAGAATTTTACTTTTAACTTAGGACCAAAGTCTTGAGTTATGACCCAGATGCTGGCCATTTGTGTTTCCAGAAGGTCTCAGATACAGATCAAACTTTTTTTTTTTTTTTGGTACCGGTGATAAAACTTGGGACCTTGTGCTTGAGAGGCAAGTGGCAGAACCACTAAGCTAAATCCCTGGCCCTCAGATCGAGCTTTTAAAGAGTTCTGGAAGGAACATGACAGCATCCTCTCCTGTGTGGGGTTAATGGATAGATCCTGGGCCAGTGTCTCTAAGGACACTGAGATCTGCCTGAAAGAAAGTATGGCCTAAAATTATACAGGAGAGACTTTGAAGGCAGTTGACCAGTTTGTATTACAACCAACCCTCAGGAACGAATTGAGTTTGTAAGTCAAGGGTCCACTGTAACACACCCCCCCAAGTTTTTGCAATGTTAGTTAAAAAAAAAATCAGCCTGTGTTTGCAGTCTGGCTTATTATTAAGCTTGATTTTCTTTTTGCACTAGTAACAGTGGAACAACACCAGGAAGTAAAGGGCCACAGTGACCAGCCACTGTTGGGGGCTGTTGCTGTTACAGTAGGAGCTGGTGGTTCCTGGCAGTTTTGCATCTACAAAATGTGAAAGGTCCTTAATCCTGAGTTTACAAGGTAGAGTCCACTTGCTTCCTTCTGAACTTCATCCTGATGTTTTCCTTTTCCCTGCCTTTGGCAGTTGCGCAGGGTAGCAGGGCATGTTCAGCTTACTTGGAAATGCCAGTTGGAATCTGTATTACTGATGATTTTCAAGGAAATAGTCTACTGTAGTTAGTCCTGACAACATCAAAACCATTGTTCAGAATGTTCAGAAAAAAGGGAATCCCTCACCCCCACCTCCGTCCTGGGGACTGAGCCCAGGCTTTCACTGAGCTGCATCCCTAGCCTGTGTCTACATGTGAGTGCGTGCATGCATGTGTGTTTTGAGACAGAATCTCACTGAGTTGCTCAGGTTGGGCATTAAACTCATGATTCTCCTGCCTCAATCTTCCAGAATGATGGCATTACAGGCATGTACCACCGCAGCTGAACTCAGGACCTTGCACTTGTGAGGCAGGCAGCGGCACTACTAAGCCAAATCCCCAGCCCAGCAATTTTTAATGAACAAATGATAAACTTAAAGCCAGACCCCACTTGTCCTTAATTTAGTGGAGTTTGTTTGTTTGTGCTTTGAGTCACGGCCTTGCCATACTGTTCAGGCTGGCCTTGAACTTACTGTGTAGCCCAGATTGGCCTCAACTCATGGTGATCCTCCTGCGTGGAGTGCTGGGATTGCAGGCATCAGCCACCATGTCCCGAATAACAGTTTGGCAAAGGTGATGTTTATGTTTTTCACTATGGGAATAACATCAGGTTTTAAGATTTCCCCTTAAAAAGTGCTTTAGGAATCTATAAAGCAAATGGATCACATGGGTGTAGGAATGTTCACACGCTTGATGGGAAGTTTTGAATTCCTGTTCTGGCTTTGCCCTTTTCATTTTTGACTAAAAATGTAAAAGTAACAGTAGCATGTTCTACATGTAAAATAGTGTATATTGGGAAAGTAGAGTAATATTTAAAGATGTGCTCAAGCTAACTAAACAACATGGGTTTTATTTATACCGTTCTCATCTTTAGATACATTCTGCATGGTACCAATCACATGATACAGTAAAACAAATAATGCAAAAAAATGTATCCAAGGCATCAAGGTTTAAGAATTGCACCATACTGAAGTCTAATGACTAACACATTTTTGTTCATATTTCGTATGTTACGCTAGTTATGCTTCACGTTTATTTCAGTTGTGCTTCTTGATAGGAAACACTTGGCTTCATTGGCAGTGTGGCGTTTCCATCAGTGACTTAGACAGAAGGGCTCCTATGCGGAATGTTGGTTTTATAAAGTAAGACAGCTTTCTTCTGTTATTTTTGGATGCTGATGGCTTCCATCTTCCCAGGCATTGGAATGGATACTTGCGTCATTCCTTTGAGGCACGGTGGTCTTTCCTTGGTTCAAACCACGGATTACATTTACCCTATTGTAGACGACCCTTACATGATGGTAAGTTGGACCCAATGTGTTTATAACTTGAACTGCTTGTACATTTGGTTTTGAGTTGTGGCGAGGGCTTGTATATGCCCATGGCTTTTGGTTTTTGTTTTTGCTGTATCCAGATGACACTATGCAGGTGCTCCCGTAGTCCCAGCAGCTTGATGTCCCACTGCGCACATCTGGCCTGAGAAGAGCAAGAGGAACAGGGACATCGCTCTGCTGCCTGTGTACCTGGGTGTCTACTTGTGTATGAGAAACCTGTTGCTTTAGGAGAGGGCTGTTGGACTGATGTTGTTTTCTGCTTTCTTTCCTTGTACCTTTCTTTAGTGTTTGTAAACTTGACCACTCCTACTTCAGGCTAGTGATCTTTCTACACTCTAATAGGAGCAATCCTAAGTGTTTCCTTTGGGGGGTAAGGAAGCTAGTGTCCCCTCACAAGAAGTCTACTTCTTGACCATCTACTCTGGCATATGTTAGAATACACTGGTCACTGGTCACCCGGCTGTCGCCACCAGGTGTGGCGTGTATCTGAGCACGGAGTTCCTAGCATTGTGTGCACCGCTTTGTGATTTATTTCCCATCTGGTCACCGCATGCTTCCAGCCTGCAGCCCTTGAATCTATCCCGCCTTTGGCCCTGCTTCCAGCCTGGTTGACAATAAGAGGAGTCAGTGAGGAGACGGAATATTCTGCTCCTTGTAGAATGCCGGAGATCTTTCCTTATGTGAGGACGAGGGACTGTGCTGCACACATAGGAAGGGACTTAGGCCACAGGGTTGCAGAAGTGGGGAGGTTAATTGAACAGGTTACTAGGAGCCAGGATTCCCTCTGTTCTTCCTCCAGAGCAGTGCTCTTGAGAGACAGGGCAGAGAGTGAGGCCCCAGTCCTTCCTCTTCCTGTTACCCTTGAGTGCATTTGACAGCACCCAGTAAATTTTTGCCACCCTGACCATTGCTTGGCATCTCCAAGTTGCATAGCACCTGTTAGCCTTGGAGATGCTGAAAATGGGTCTGGAGAAGGCTGTGGATCTACCAGGAATGCAGAAACATAAGACAAGCAGTTAAACAGCCACTGGAAATGATAGTGCTGCTTTGCAGTTTGATTAGCCTATGTCAAGAGAAAAACTTGTCTGGCCAGGGATTTAGCTCAGTGTTTCTGGTGCCTGCCTCGCAAGCTCAAGGGCTAGAGTTCGATCCCTGGCACCAAAAAAAGAAAATCCTGCCTATAAAAATATACAATGGAAAAAAGAGTAACGACAGTGACATCTTATTACATTTAAATAGTCTCCTGTGTGAGTCGGGTGTGGTGGCACATGCTATAATCCCAGCACTTGGGAGGCTGAGGCAGGAGGATTGCCACAAGTTCAAGGCTAGCCTGGGCTACATAGTGAGTTCAGGGCTAGCCTGAACTGCAGAGGCAGACCCTGCCTCAAAAAGCAGAAACAAAAAAGTTGCCTGTGACAAAAAATGTTTAATGCTGCATTTCTATTGAATGCTATTTTAAGTTCTGTTGAATACTGTTCTTTTTTCCTCAGGTATTTAAAATCATTTTTTATATTTTAATTTTTGATTAGTCCTTGTTTGTAGTGAATGACGTTTGTCCTCCTGTCCAGCTGGTCCATGTACACAACACTTCTAAAGTCCTGTCTCCATCCCTTCCCTCCCTCCCTCCATCGCTTGACCCATTTCCCGATTGAGAGGATCTTTCTTAAGTAATATTTGAGTTTTAAGTTTAAAATTATGTAATTGACTAGAAAATATGTCTTCTTCTTTGGAAAAATCTGACTTTATGCCTATATATTTCTTACTTTTTTTCTAAACAAGATGAGTTTCCTATTTCATGATAGCCTTGAAAAGGAGCTGGAAAACACTCTTGCCATAACCAATAAAGTCGGCATTTTTGTCGATTGTTGAGGATCGGCGGCTGTTTCCAGTTTTGCTTTAGACATACTGTGTCACACTCACAGCAGTTCCAACCTGGCTTCACTTCTTGACACCTGCCCCCACCTCCCCCATACACATCAGGCTTGTAGTACTGAAACGGGAAAGGAGACCCTGTGAACTCTTGTTCCGTTTGAGAAGGATGTGGTGACAGGAGCGTCTGGGATAGCGAACGGCCTGCCGCTGCCCTTCCTGGAAAGCCCCTGTTTCCCTGGAGGCTTCTTGCAGGCTCGGTCTTTGTCCCAGGTCTGCCTTTCTCACATCCCCCTCTCCGCAGGGCCGGATAGCGTGTGCCAACGTCCTCAGTGACCTGTATGCAATGGGCGTCACGGAGTGTGACAATATGCTGATGCTCCTTGGAGTCAGTAACAAGATGACCGACAGGGTAAGCGGGGGTCCCCGACTGTCACCCTTGACTTGTTTCCTCCGGAGGGTGAGGAGCCCAGGCCACGTGGCTGCCCGCACCCCTTCTGGCTGTCCACTCATGGCGGCTGTCATTAAAATGAGAACATCTGGCCTGCTCATCTGTTTCATCCACTGCTCCCTGCTTCTCTTCTAGGTAGGCCAAAACCTACAAGTAGATACCGTGTGTGTTTCAGTAACGTGTACTTACTAGGACCAGAGCGAGATATGGAAGCATAACGTGTAATAATGTCCACAGTAATAGTGCCAGGCCTGTCGGTCGGGTCTGGGGGTGCGGTACTCCTGTGATGTTGCCTGGCAGGCAACCTGCTGGGACTAGGAACGAATTCCTACTTAGCTTATATAGGACAGGTTTGGTACTTGTTTTTGTTCCCTGTCTGTCTCCAGCTTACAGAAATCAGTTTTCAGTAGGCCTTCTGCCCTAGCATGTGAGCTTTGATCAGTACGTTTCCGTCATAGGCATCCGTAGTCTTCACACTTCTCCGTCAAGTGTGAGCCTCCCTGAAGCGGGTGCCCCTGCGTTGTTTGTTAGGTGCTCTTGGTATTCTTGTGGCAGGAAACAGCTGGCTTCTAATGGTGTCAGACCCAGGGCTGGGCCTGTGTACCAAGTCATGTGTGGTCTGTGCTTCTCTCCTGTCTGGACGTGGAACACCTTGGAGCATTTGATGAGTGGCCACAGTGTGCTGTACTGCATGGCTTTTGCTTCCTCTAGGATTTTAGATCATTTTTGTGACTACTAATGTAGAACTCTGTTTTCAGGGCTTTAAACAGAATGATTTGACTTCTCATTGTGTCCTTTTAAATTCTAGGAAAGGGATAAAGTGATGCCCCTGATTATACAGGGTTTTAAAGATGCAGCAGAGGAAGCAGGAACATCTGTAACAGGTGGCCAAACCGTGTTAAACCCCTGGATTGTCCTGGGTGGAGTCGCCACAACTGTCTGCCAACCCAACGAATTTATCATGTAAGTAGGTTTGTTCGTGTCACCGGATGTGTTTCTCTTTTGCATTTCTTCCTTTAAAAAGATGCACATTGAAGCTGGGCATTCACACACCAGCGGTTCACCTGTTCAGTGTGTGACTCCATGGGCTTTGGCACATTCACAGTAAACTGTCACCATAGCTGATGTTAGAACATTTAGAGCTTTAGCGTTCATTCACTTCTTGGTGTGTATCATTTACTTTGATCCTGATCTTCACAGTGTGTAGATTTTTAAAATTAATGTATAATTTGCAACAAAATACCACGTAACACATAATCCAGCATTTTAAATAACCGGTTCCTTGATTTTGTGTGTGCACCCTCACTTTCCAATCCCGGAGTGTTTCCATCACCTCAGAAGAACTGTGTGCTTTGCCACCCTTTCCGGTCCCTCCTGCCCGCGTTCTCTGGTAGCCACTACGCTCCTTTTTGTCTGTCGGGATTTATCTATTCCTGATGCTGTATGTACTACATGTCAGTTTCTCTCTGGCTTTTTCACACAGCATGTTCTCAGGTGGTGCAGGTATCAATCGGCACTGCCTTCTTGTTCACTGCTGAATAATCCACGTGGGGCTATGTGGTGTTTTCTCTGTCCATTCATCGGGTGGTTAAAATCATTGGACCTTGGCTTGTGCTTTCCTCTGGATCAGTGATGGCGCCTCGGAGCTCTCCACGATGACAAATGGCTGGCTGCAGCACACGTGCATGTTTGCCGCCACTACCCTAGACAGTGCTGCCGTGGGTGCTCGGGGCGCTTTGTTTGGTCTCTACATCCTGTCCAGAGTTGTTACGTTGTGAAGTTTTGCTTACAGTGTCCTGATGAGTGGGTGTAAAACAGTACCTGTTGTGCTTTTGCTTTGTGTTTCCCAGGTGACTGATGATGTTGAGCAGCTGCCTTTCTATGGGTTTGGCCATTTCTCGGTCGCAGCTCAACACAAGCTGTCGCTTGGCATGTTTATGTCTGAAGGGCGGCCCCTCTGTCCTGTTTCAAAGCAGAGCTCCACTTGTCTCGTATTAGGTTCACGTGGGGAGAACTCTGGAGGGACGGAGGGTCTGCAGGCCTGGAGCTGTCCCTTCTCTGCCCAGCCACTCTGTTGCTGAGTGTATAGTATGTGCCCCTATCCGGTGGGTGATCGCACAGAAGTGTCTGTCGTTCTCCACATCAGTCTGCTGACAGAATCTCTGCGTGCGCTCTGGACTGCACGGTGTCTGCAGCTTGCCCTGTGTGCACCTCCACCTGTGTGTGCTTTGCAGCCCAGTGGGCACAGTGGGTGGCAGATGTCTTGGTGTTTGCCCATCTGCTTGGTGATTTTAACCGTATTCTTATGAGCAGAGGTGAACATACATCCATGTTTTAACTGGTGGAACCTCCTATTAGGCCTGGTGTCAGTGCTTTCCTGGAAAGGATCCTGCATTTTTCTTACATTCAGATTTTATTTTCTCAATAGACAGTATCTGGGTAGTTCCTCATCACTTAGATTCTGAAGTGTATCTGGACTCATCCACTCCATCTTTCTATTAGAAAAAGAACTGAGTATACTGGGCGTGGTAGAACACAACTGTAATCCCAGTTCTTGGGAGGCTGAGGCAGGAGGATTATCATAAGTTCTGGGCCAGGCTGGACTACACAGTGTGACCTTCTGTCAACAGGCAAAACAAAAAAGTGGGGTGGTGGCAAGACAGGTTTCAATGGAGTGTCTTGCCAACAACGTGCACATTCAGTGAATGGGCCTGTGTATATACACATGGTTACATCCCATCAAGTTTTGCCCATAAACTTAAAAATAACCCCACAGCTTTATCACATGTAATATAAACTCAGGGGTTGCACATAACCAGTGAAGTGGAAGAACCTACCAGCTTTCTGGTTGTCTGAGGCACAGTGGAAATGCATTTCTCTCTAAAGATTCAGTTTTGGGGACGTGAGTGCCCTGTGTAGTGTCACAGAGTCACTGTGTTCAAAGCTGATGGGGTACAGATGTTGCCGGTGCCTCAGCTCGCTGAGCGAGTTAGCCCAGCATCAGGATGGGAGTGCGGTTGCTGGGCTGGGATGGCCCTGAGAAAGCCATGGTGGGCCCCAACCTGGCTGTGATGACGCGAGTGTGGTAGCCCCTTTCTGTGTGGGAATCGTTACGGGGGTCCTTGTTACTACTTGTTACTACTTACTTTCTGTCTTTAAGACAAGGTCCATTCTGGGAGTCCGGGTACTTACTACTGGTCAGGGAGGGTGTGCGAACCTAGGTGTAGAAATTTCCAAAACACTAGACTCCATTTCTAGCCACATCCCAAATCTAGAAAATCTCACCTAAATCTCTGCTACTGAAGTGACCATAGTCAAGCACTCTGAAAAGTCTTGTCTCCAGTGATCTGAACTCCGGCAGGACTGTGAATTATGAAGGGAAAGCAGTCTAGTGAAACCTCTGAGGACTAAATGATTGGCTACTGTGTACAGTTTTTGCTCTGTTGCTAATTGAGCCATACCCTCAGCCTGTGGGTGCTTTCTTTTTCCTTTTAGTATTTTGTTCCACCTGTGCTCAGAAGCAGAGAGTGAAGCTCTGTCCAGTACGTGGTGGTAGTTGGCTGTGCTGCGGGATTTTCCTCCTGTTTAACACCACTGTTCACCTCCTTGGCGAGTTTGACTAGAACATGCCCTCTTCCCTTTCTCCAGGCCAGACAACGCAGTCCCGGGAGACGTGCTTGTGCTGACAAAGCCCCTGGGGACGCAGGTGGCTGTGGCGGTGCACCAGTGGCTGGATATTGTGAGTGAACCACTGTGGCTGTGACAGGAGGAGTGGTGGGCACAGAAAGTTCTCAGAGCTGCATGGTCCTTGTCAGAGGGTTGAGAAAAGGAGAACCTTTAGTGTCGGTGCTGGGGAGTTTAATCAGCATGTCCATAAGGAAGTCCTAGGCGCTGTCCTCAGTATTGGATGCCTGAAGTAGAAAACCCCAGCTTGGACTTAGAGATTTTCCATAAGGAATTTGGGGCACATAGCTTCATCTGTTTGTTTTGTCGAGCTGAGGTAGCTTCGTCTTTCTGTCTGAGACAGCACCACAGGGTGACAGCATGGACAGGAATCGATGCAGGTGTTTAGGGTATAAAGGAGGGTCGAATATTACCAGGGTGTTTCATGATGGAGAGAGCAGTAATTTTGTCTTCTTAAACTAGCGAGTAACTATGGTTTTAATAGCCCATTCTCTCCAGGAGACAGTGTCTAGAACAGAAGGGTATTTCTCTAAGCATTTTCTCACTGAGCTGTAATCATTCTTAAGGTGTTTTTCGCTATCACAACTCACAAAGTGATAAGATCATGGTGTGTTGAATTTCTAAAACTACGACCGGCAGCTGCTAATCCGGAGAAGCAGTTATGCCATTCACCAACCAGGTGTACCTTAAGTGAGGTGGGAGAGTCAGAACTCTGAGGCTGCCACGTTCCTTCGTTGTTTCCTCCTTACTGTGCGATAGACCAGGTGCGGAGCCCAGAGTGCCGTGCAGTACAGCAGCGAGGCCGCACAGCCTAGGCAGAGGGGTGGCGGGGGAGAGGTGGGCGGGGAGCGTCTGTCTCCGCCTTGGCCGCACAGCACCTCTGCTGTGTTGTAAACCAGTTTTTAAAAATTTCTCAGATTTGAAAAGGCAAGTTCCAAAGACTGGGATAGCACAGTATGCCTTTTTATAAAGGTCAGAGAAGAGAGAATATTATTATTGTTTTAAGTGGGAAACGTGTAGAACTGAGAATAGTGTTCCTCTGCAAGGAGCAGGAGTGATGGAACGAAGGGGCAGAAGCTGTTCGTGATGTCCAGTTAGTGACTGCACTGCGTGCGGGTTGGTTGGATAGCAGGGGTGCGTGCGTGCGTGCGTGTGTGTGTGTGTGTGTGTGTGTTTCTGGGGACCAAACTCAGGGCAAATGCTTTACAACGGAGCTGCATCCCCTTGGGTACCCTTTATGTCACTGAAAAAACAGGTGGCTGGACACACGCATGAGGGCAGTGGGCTTGTGTGCCAGGAGCCCAGCATTTTGATGCCTGATTACTCTCTGAGGATCAGACTGCGGGAGACAGATGTCTTTTTATGATGTCCTTTTCGGTCACCGAATGTTGTCCTCACCACACACACAATTGAAATTGTTTTTATATCCCTGTGTTCATCAGATAATTTCATTCCAGCATTCAGTTAAAGTCAGTAAAACGCGTGTCCTGTGAAAAAGAGAAGCCAGCTTAGTTGGGGACAAGCGGGATATGATGGGCACCTGCCAGAGGGAGCAGGCTGTGCCCACTGTCGCCTGTGCTGTCTGCTGGCCCTGCAGAGCACTGCAACCTGGTGATGGAAATGTGGGTTTGATGGACACTTAGTAATTACAGGAAGAGCTAGAATGTTTGATTTATGTACAAAGTTAGATGCGCTCATCTCCCCAGGAGGGCAGAACAGAGCACTGGGAAAGCTTGTGTATGATCTGGGGTTTGATTCCCCTGCAAAGAGAAAATCCCCAGAAAATAACTAAGAAAAACGATGTTGTCTTTGTCGGTGAGAAGTAAAGATTAACCACATTTTCCCTCTCTCCCCACTGGTGTTCCTATTATTAGCCTGAGAAATGGAATAAAATTAAGCTAGTGGTCACCCAGGAAGACGTGGAGTTGGCCTACCAGGAAGCCATGATGAACATGGCCCGGCTCAACAGAACAGGTAGGGCTGAGCCAGCCGAAGCCTTGGCCTCGCTGGCACACCATCTTTTCGCCCATACTTCTTTAAGCATGCAAAAATTGGTGCCCAGCTGGGAGGCAGGCCCTGGGTGGGAGTTGGTTGTAGCTGCAGACCGTCTTCTGCTGCTGCTTGGTCTGGCTTCCGAGGGAGTCCAGACACAGACACTCTTCTGTATACGACGATGTCACTGAGAATTGTTCAGCCTTATGGTGGTGGGAAAGCGGTACAGACTTGACAGAAACCGTGCGAGGTTTTGAGTATTCTTTCCCTGGCTAGTGATGTGCAGTGCCTCACTCTGTCCTCCTCACCTGTGGTCCTGGGCGGTGGCCTGAGTACAGCTCCTCCTCCCCACGTGGCCACGAGGTGACAGTTGTGTGTTGCTGAGCTGTGTGAGATACTTGTTAGGTTAGGTGTGTAAGACGCATTGGTGGCCTGACTCTGTCATAGGTTGAGAATCTTAACCTCATCAGAGGTTCTCAGCAGTGTGAAATGCGACTTGTATTAGAAGCAAGCTTGCCAAGGGCATCACATGGACTAAGGGTTGTATTTTATTTGAAGTAGTCTGTGTTTGTAGTGCGTTTACATGCCTGTGGAGTTGGTAAGGTACCTAGCGCATCTTAATTTTACCCTTCCCTCCTTCCATCTCGTGATCCCCTCCCTTCCTCAGAGAAAGACCTGCCTCCCTGCTTGGTATTTTCTTTTATTTTACTCTTTATTTATATTTGGGATTCTCACGTAAGAGAAACCATGTGATATTTAAACTTGTGTGTCTGATTTATTTCACTTAACATTATGGTCTCAAGATGCATCCATTTTCCTACAGATGACTAAAGTTTATCCCTCTTTATGGCAGAGTAGTATTCCCTTGTGTATAAATGCCACACTTTTTCCCATTTATCTGCTGGTGGACATATAGGCCTCTTCCAAGAGTTACCATTGTGAATTATGCTTCTATAAACATGGGTATATGTTTATCACTGAATATGATATCTTGGGGGAAAGCTGGATCAGATGGAATTTCTAGTTGTTTTGTGTGAGGACTCTCCATGCTAATTTCCTAGTGGTTGTACTGGTTTACACTCCCACCAACAGTGTAGAAGGGCTGCTTTTCCCCACAGCTTCATTGCATGTTATTGATTTATTGATGTTGGCCATTCTTCTGGGGTAAGTTGAACCATTTTATACTCACGTTTTATGGTTTATAAATAAGCAGGAAGGGCTTTTCATAGGACTTTGTAAACCCTAACTCTGATAATGTCAGGGAGCGGTTTCTAGAAAGTATTTGTGTGGATTGCTGTGTGATGCTTTGGAAGCAAACCAACATTTAGAATGGAAATTTAGACAATTTTTATGCTGATAATACCAGTTTTCTTTCTTGTCATTAATTACACGTTATATTTATGGATTTCCTGTTTTGGAATTTGGAGATACTTGAAGATAAAGTACAACTTAAACATTAAACGTCCTAGGGCCAGGCACAGTGACACACACACCTGTAGTCCAGCTATAGCTCAGGCGGAAGGTCGCTTGAGCCTGGAGTTAGTGGCCAACCTGAGGGACATTGCGAGCCCTCTTCTAGTGAACGTAAGTTTTATTATGTGACCTAGTAAGTGTAATTTTTAATATTCTACCAGAGAGATGTACTGTATTTCACTTTGAAGTAAAAACTTGTGTATTTGTTTGTCAAAAACATGTTGTAGATCAGTGGAACAGAGTAGAAAACCCAGAAATAGACCCACACAGCTGTGTACAGAGGACAGAGGCCTGCGGTGGGGAAAGACAAGTGGGCGTCCACACCCGGCTTGAGTCTAGATACAGATTTGACGTGTCCCGTCAGAATTCGCCGAGTGGGTGTGGACCTGGACGGAATGAGACCCCCCAGAGAGGCTGTGTGCCTGTGGCTGCACTGTGAGGGAGAGGGGCAGGCTGGACTCCACCGCACTACACTGCCGTGCGAAAGGTGCTGCTGTGAGAGGGGAGGTGTGAGACAGGCCAGGGCCGGGAGAAATCTTTGCAGAACACACGCTTGATGAAGGTTGGGTAGCCAGAAAATATGAAGAACTCTTAAAACTCAATTTTACAAAAATCCAATTTTTAAAGGGCCAGAGGCCTAAATAGACAATCACCAGTGAAGAAACCCAAATGGCAGAGAAGTATGAAAAGATTCTCCGCAGCACGTGACAGTAGGGAACTGTAAACTCCGCCGGGTTCCGTGGCAGAGCGCACAGATCGCTGCTGGCACTGCCTGTCCGCCAGGGCGTGGTGCAGCCAGGGACTCATGCATTGCTGGTGGCAGTGCAGAATGTTACGGCCACTGCCAGCAGAGCGGGGCCCTGCATTATAACATAGAAGTACATTACAACTGTGTGGTCCAGCGGTGGTGCTCTTTAACCAAAGGGGCTGAGAACTTAGGTGGACACAAGTTTGTAGCACCTTTTTTCATAGTTGCCAAAACTTGGAAGCAGCCTGGATATCCTTCAGTAGGTGAGCAGAAAAGTAAGACGGAGGAATATTACTGAGCAGTAGGAAAAAATGGGCTGTTACCTGTGAAAAGACATGGCGGATCCTTACGTACATATTGTTAGGTAGAAGATGCCCGTCTAAAAAGGCCGCACACTGTTTGATTCCTACTGTGGCATTCCAGAAAAGGCACAGCTCTTAAGATGGGGAAAAGATCAAGCTGGGTACGGTGCCTCATGCCTATAATAGTTGTCTGGAAGCTGAGGCAGGATGATCTTAAGTTCAAAGCCAGCCTGGACAACTTAATGTCTTAGTGAGGCCCTGTTGCAAAAATAAAAAGGGCTGGGGATATCACTCAGTGTGAAGGCTGTGTGGCTTCCATTCCCAGCCCCCCCCCCCATCAGCGGGGGCCAAGGCTCAGG